AAAATATTTAACGATTTTTAACATTTATTGATAAGTTTACATTTTAAGACAAAATAAAAGATGATATTATTGTAAAGAAGGAAAAAAAATGTAGTTTTTGCCCAATTTCTAAAAACTAAATCAATAAACTATGCAGGACTATGCGATTTTTTTTTTTTTGTAGAAAAATTAAGCATCCTACGCTGAAGAAATAAAGCGCAAAGTGAAAGTGAGTATGTTCAAGGCTCAAGCTTCTTTATTGTCATATGCATCACATGTGGTACATGAGGTGGAACAAACTTGGGCACTCAAGGTCCCCCAAAAATAGCAAAATTATAAAGTATTAAAAAAAAGTATATAAATATCTAAGATATACACTAAACTATAATAATGGAATACTGTATAATATGATGTATTAAACAGCAGCCTGAACATGACATGTTTTACTCCTTGTAATGTTTCTAGTATTCACATATTTGCAAAAAAAATTACAGGAAAACAGCTAAAACTAACAATTTTATTGGTTGTGATAACAACATGCATGTTTGGGTTTATGGGAATAAATTGGGAGTTCTCTGAGAAAATCCAAGAGAGAGAACATGCAAACTCTATCCAGAAAGGCCCCAGACTGGGAAGCAAACTTGTAACCGTCTCGCTGTGATGTGACAGCTCTAACCACTGCCCAGTTGTGCCAGCTGACCAAAATAATAATATACAGATTTAAACTCTAGTTCACCTCCTGTGCTCTCCTGTTGTCTAGAAATCACTTCAGTGACCAGAACTGATATTAAGCAATAAAGTAAATGTGAGATGGAGTTGCCCTTTTCATTTAATTTATTTGGCCATTCATACATCTATTCACGTCCTCTCTTACCATCTTTGCACCCATTAAGACTGAAGCTTCACGTTTTTCATCTTCATCTTAATGCAATTCAAAGACCTACATTCTACACCAGAGTTGCCGTGGCAACATGGTCCACCCGCCATCCCCAAGATGCTGAAAGATCAATAGAGTATCCTCAACGGCGATGCAAGAAGAGCTCTGGCACAGATGGTCCGCTGAGAAACCATGTGCTTTGTGTCCCAGTTAGCATCTGAATACTAAGTCAACCCAGCAAAGCTGTCACTGTAATAAATTTTTAAAAACCGTAACTGTCTCTCATAAAGGTATCTGACACACGAAAATGTTCGTGTGCATTGCTATTGATTTTACAGTTTAGTTGTCTTAAAAAGAAAAGTTATTCCGGCACACAGTTAAGAGGCGTTGCTAAATAAATAAACTTGTCCATGAGGGATTTAAAGGCTTTCTTAAACTTGGTGTGCAATTTTTGCACATGTACAGTAGTTTATCCTCAGAATACTTGTGACTAATCGTAGAGAAGAATTATGTGTGCATGTTGTACTCCACTGCTTTAGTCTTGCAGCTCAACCTGCAGAGTCAGAACAATGAGACAAGAAGGTGCAAACACAAACCAAGAAAATATCTGGGTTCAGCATTCTTTCCAAATGCCGTTTAATGGTTACGACCAACGCAGAATAAAGTAGAAGCAGCGTTGTGGGAACTGGGTAAAATTGGTCACCAGTCTTTGATAAACTCTCCCACTGGTTTGAGCTCGTGCTTCAAGCTGTTCCACTGGCCTCAGATAATGATATCATAGGACGCCAGATTTTAATGAGAACTCTGATTGGACAGCGGTATTTCATAGATAACGAGATGCCCTGTTGTCTTCCAGTTTTTGCCAACTAGACAGCCGTGTTTGTGTGTTTACTACAGTGTGTGTTAGAGAAAAGGAAAAGACAACAGGATTTACAGCACTGCCTGGCAAATCCACTACGGATCAATGGAAAATGATTGGAAAGCAGCTGCAGTATCTTACTTCTCTTTAAAAAAAAAAAAACATGGATAATCATAAGATCAGGATAATAAAGATATTTTGAAGTGGAGTTATGTGGAAAGTTTATGAACAATTATTAATTTACCTGTTGTAGATCGCTCATAGAAGGACTTTCAGTTACTGGTGTCTTAAAACTTTTATAGTGGTTCATGCTAATGCCATTTTTAAAGCTTTCCATCATGGTCAGTTTCACATTAGATGGCTATTTTAACTGAAATATCATGATGATCCTGCTGGGAGTGCTTCGGTTCAGTTCATCGCTTTGAATTTGTTCTTGAGCCCACTTAAAGTAATGATTATCTAATCAATCTGTTCAAAAATCTTCTATAAAATGAGGTCGTTTAAAGAGCTCTCTACTACTTTTTCACAGAATACCACTTCAAAAAAGGTGAACTATTGTTTAAGGTCTGAATCTTAACAATAAATACTCATGAAAATAGCAAAGTTGGGGGGGGGGGGGGAGACAAACCTGGACTGGCATAAACTCTTTTGACAAATTAATCTAACATGTTGCTTTTAAATCCCAATTCTGGAATAAATGGATGGATGGATGGATGGATGGATGGATGGATGGATGGATGGATG